TATATATATAATATGAATATATGATCAACACACGAGGAACTTTGTAAAACATTTTATAGCTTTTAAACCGAGAGATTTTAACAAACTAGCAATAATAAATCTCAAAAATTAGTTGTTTTTTTTTGTAACTAATTGTAAGTCATATAAATATATAATGCAACTAGTAATTACCTATATTATATAGGAAAATAATAATGAAGTAGCTAATGCCATTTAAAGTCATTGGCATTTTTAAGTAGAACAATATTTAATAAATTATGATGCATGGCTTATTTTTTTATCGTTATTGAAATATTAAATCATGGCAAAAACTATTATTAATAATTTATTATAATATAATAGTTATATTGCTCAACAGTACACTAGGTGACATAATTATAATCTATGCATTTTTACATAAAAATAATAATGTCATATTTGCAATATATATATCATGCAGAATACTCCTACGTATCACATTATATGCCACTGGTTGAAGGATAAATAAAATTAATGTATGATTAAAGCAGGAATCAACTGTGTTTACTATCTCTCCCGTGATCGCTGAGTAGGTTCACAAGTAAATTGATAACATAATATGATTATTCAAAGTAGGTAGTGAATAACATGGAGATGCGTTAGATATATCAGGAAAATAATAATGAAGTAGCAAATGTCATCTAAAGAGAATGAAATTTTTAAATAATAAGAAATACACGGAAAAACAATGTGGTTATAGTTACCATTTAAATGGTATAGGGACTACCACATGACATAGTTCTTAGTACCAAACACATTTTGTTGTTATGATAAGTTAATGTAACCTACAATTATGGTTAGAACTTAGAATTCTGCCAGCCAACATAGTTCCATCAAGTCTCAATTTGATGGCATCACCTATATAGACAATTCAGAATAAGTGGTATAGAACACTCCTACAGTCCTATGTATCACATTGTTGCTGAATGCTGGATAAATAAAAAGCATTAATATTCAATACTATGATCAAGGCAGGAGTCAACCGTGTTGTCAGCCTATCTCTACAGTGATCACAGAATAGGTTCCCAAGTAAATTGAATACCTATATACGCTGCAGACACGCAGTTAATTCAGACATAATATGATTTTTTAAAGTAGTGAATACAGGGGACGAGTGCAGGTTTCTATAGCAATATTATGTTCCTACTGATTTCAATCTGTAGAAAAAAAATCATTGTAAAAACAATAGGCACTTTGCAATCGAATGAGAAAAAACAATGCACTATTATTACAAAATATGACTTTTTTATCATTAGTATAATATTATAATACCTAATTGCAATCTTATCAGTTGTTGGTTGTTTTTTTTTTTAATGTTTATAGGTAAGTTTTTATGAATGCCAAGATTATTTTATATTATATACTATTATAATAGGTATATAGTTACTATACAACTATTAGATTTAAAATTACAATAATACGCTCGATTTCGCGTAGGGTGGTCTGTTAGTCGTTAGATATATCATATATAAGTTCTCACTTCTCACCGAAGTTTGACGTTATGGTTTTTTTTTTTAACAAGTTGACTGCCACGGTATTTTTATAGAGCTATCCTCATACGCCATGAGTACCAAATATGGTACTCACTCGGTTTGGCTCGTAGGGTTTTAGGTTTTCTGGATTATTGAGTACCAATTATGGTACTCAGTGACGAACTCACGAAAAAAACTATTAGTTATCAAGGTCAAACGGTTATCACGTGTCAAATGACGGGTGAGTACCAGGATTGGTACTCATAACGTATGAGGATGGCTCTATAAAAATACTGTGGCTCAGGAGACAAACCATGTGAGTACCAGATAGGGTACTCACGGCAGTCAACTTGATAAATATTATTATAGTAATATAATTTATAGCAAAAAACTTTCAAGTATATTTTTTTAATATTTAAGATGTCTAACTTTAGTACTTATTCATTATATTTAATAATATACAGTTTAAAAAATGAATAATTTATTCACTATAATAAACACTATTCAAAATTGCTTAGACCACCCTATAGAAAATATGAGGTTGATCGTACCTAATGCAATAAATTAGTAATTACTATCGCGTAGTCATTATATAAATAATTAGTAATGTTAAAAAAATGAAATTCACGCTGCGTTAAGAAATGTTCCTTTAATAGTTAACATGTAGTAAATAATTTGAACAGAAATCGAATTAAATTTTTTTACAATGTATAATATGTAGATGCCTCGCGTGCATTATAATATAATACATATAATATATTATATATCATATATATATATTATTATACATTTCAATATAGGCACCCTATGAATAAAAAATAAAAAATATACACATAAGATATTTGTTACATCGATGCTAGAAGTGTAATAAAAGTACATACAAAATTCCAAAATTATATCCATTGTTAATACAGTTCAAATTATTTATGCATACTTTGAATATTTGGTAGTATTCACCGGTTAAATTTAATTTACGCAAAATTAAAGTATTAATGTATCTATTAAGTCATGGATTGTAAATAATTTATGATCGCCTGCAGTGGTTTTACATTTTACAGACTGGTTCTAAGAAATGATGTAAAATCTATATAAAGATTTTTGCATCAAACGTATTTTTACGGTGATCACAGTTTATAATAACTCTTTTACAAAGAAGTCGTATACTAAATAAATCGTTTTGGAAAGTTCATCATAAATAATCGTGATTTCATATTCTTTTTAAATACCATCTTTAATCGCATGTATACAATATTGGATTGTCAATCCACATATTTACCAAAACTACAGAGCTATACCTATATATAATATTATATACGCACAATATACCATATTTTGAACTCGAGTTTAAACATTTCGTGTACCGGCCGCTGCTATAATACTCGTACATTGAATTAACGACATGATTCTTTTTGATGTTTCAAAACCAATTTCCCGTTGTCAATTTTCAATCCGCCTGATTAGGTTTTTATATTTTGAGCAGTTAACCGTGCCCGTCCGCACAGACTCGCAGCAGTTTGGTATAACATAACCGAAACTGCAGTGATATCGATCGTCGATGGCCCGTATTGTTATTTTTTATGAATCGCCAAATACCTAACTGTTTCAAAAATGAATAATATATCGTTCAATTCTATTAGCACAATTTATATTGTATCACACACGTGATTTTCGTTCAATGCGACTGATTAAAGTAGGCATCATGCGTTGTACTGTAGCCTCGTGATTTAAAAAACAATTATTTATCGATTCATCACAGACTTCACATATTAATTAACGTTTAGAACTACATCAACATGTTAAAACCGTTATTCTTTGGAATATCATAATAATGTTTAGATTTAGAATTTTTTTCAAATCGTTGGACCTTAATTGGGAAACCAAAGGGTTAATATATGAGTCATATAACCTATAATTAATGAGAAATATAATTGATGTTGTTGATTGACTCGTGTCATCACGTGCTACTTCAGCGAGAAAAATTGATTGTTGTTTTTCTTAGAATTTAAATTGATTACCATTTACCTATGGGTTGTTATGTAGATTGAGTGGTGACGATGTAGTAAGATGATCATATTATTTTAATTTAAATAAGTCTACATCGACAGTTAGTACCTAGTTACATAAAAATTATAAAGCAACATTTTAATATTAATAATATTTTATCAATCAATCTGGGACTATATAACATAAATTATATTAATTATAATAAATCTTCCCATTAGTTCACGAATAATTTTATTCCGGACATAATATAATATATAATATACCATGGGTAAATACTAAATATTATTCACTTATATTATTATTTTATATTTATATGTAATATACTAATATGTACGATGTAGACGAAAATACTTTTAACATACAATATGAAATTGTGATCTAATTATAACTTTATACTACGTATATTATGTAATTTAGTAGATGGATGATAAACTTCAAAGGTCGAAATAGGAACTGAAATTCCGATATATTGTGATTTGTGGAGGGCTTGGCCATCCTGATAATAGGTATTTGGTTTTTCTTTTCCTCATTAATTATTAATGCATTATTAAAATTTCAAGAAATGTTTGACCCACAAACCAAGTTCCCCGTACCACACAATATCGTATCCTTTTCCCTACCTATATAACGTATGAGTACAGTATACAGCTGTGGAACTGTAGTACCACTGCCTTGCCACACAGAGATTTGTAGGCTCCGGCGAATGTGTAATATTATGTGGATTGTGTTTCGCGTCTGGGTAGGGTGCGGGGGTGGGGAGTGGTGGTGCGGAGATTCGATCGTGTAATTTATTCGATTAGTGTCGGTATTATTATTATTATTATTGTAATAATATTTTCGGTGGACTACCTGCCCATACCTGTCGTGCCTCCTACCTGCCCATACCTGTCGGCCGGACGGACAAGCCGCCGTCGGGGAGGTTCGTGTACCGTCGCCGGACGCCGAACCGAAATCATCTGCTTGCCCGGCCGGTACCGCCGCCGCCGCAGCTGCACGCGCCACGCACCGCTAACGGCAGCAGTAGTGTAGATCGGTCGTTGTCGTTGTCGTTGCTGTTCTTGTTCTTGCACCAGTATTAGTGTCGAACGTGACTGAGTGCGCGTGTGTTGTCTTCGTGTCTGTCCGTCGTCAAATAACGAAAAACGAAGCTCACAAATATTGCCATTATTCGTTCGTGTTATTTTATTATTGCCGTGGTCGCTGTAATTTTGTCGCGTGGAGACCGAGCCGGTCGGGCCCCGGGAGCATAATTCGATCGATAACGCCGTTTCCGGTTCCCCAACAGTGCAGTGGCGGCCATGCGTTTGACGCCGTTGCGCGATTTATAGTGTCGGTGGTGGAAGCTCATCCCCTCTCACATCTAAAATTTTAATAATTAATTATTGTATATAGTCGACGACGAATTGTTTAGTACCGACGAAGAACCATTTCGTAGCTCCGTTGCCATTTATTACCATTTTTTGTTTCGCTCGAAACGCAGTAGCAACCGGACATCCGGAAGCTGAAATGACCCGCAGCTTTTGGTTGCTCGCTGTCGTCCTGTGCTTGGCACAGGCGGCTACCGCTAGCTCGCCTTCTTCGTGTTACCGGACGTCCAACTACTTCCGGACGCATTTCAACGACACCAGCTACGTATTGGAACAACCAGCTATATCAAGTAAGTGCTTAGGGTTTCACTTCAAAAAATACATTGAATAGGTATTTAAATATATGTAATTGCCTCGCACGTCGCCACTCATAGTCAGCTAGTCCACAATTATAGGAGAGTGCAATAATAAGGAGATAGGTTGTGTTGTGATGGTGACGAAGATTCGCTAAAAGAAAAAAATAGTACAGGGGCGGCCGTGTCCTTCCCCTGACCAGTGATAACTACCCACAACACCGTATACATATTATATTATATACAAACGTACATCATGCCGCGCACGTGCCCGTTTATATCGATTCGTCATCCGCCGCGGAATACAATTAACTCCTTTGATGCTGCCAAATCTGCCGTCGCATAGGATAAGGGGGGTTGTGTATACTCGTACAATATTTTTAAAGGGTGACACTATATTGCGCATTTCCGGCCCCTCCACATATACACGCAAACGGGCGTGCGTGCGAGTGCTTATTTTTCCTTTCTCTCCCTCTTTCTGCAGAGCTCTGTATATTTATTGGACGTTCGCGCCATAGACTTTGAAATCGATTCGATCGACCCGTGGACATTCCGGGCGCGCGCTGATGTTCGCTTTTTTTCAGATGTATAACAAATACAAATATACATTTGTACGGTTCGCGTATGTATAGATATTTACAACGAAGATATCGCGATGTATAAGTTCAGGCACGGCTCTAGAAATTTTTCCAGTGGTTGTGGAGTGGAGCAGATGATTTTTGACGTGGGCTAGGGTCTTTTCAAAATCACTACAGTGATTACTCAAATAAATCATTTAATTTAATTTAACATAACACCGCTAAAGGTAGCACACATTTAACTTTTGTTTAAAATACTCTACTTAAGCAGTTTTTATATAATATTCTAAGTTCTAAATTCATAATTCTAAAATATTGTTAGGTAATATGTATAAACTTTTGAATAATTAATAATGTTTTAAAAACAATACACTACCTAGTATGTATAACACTCACTATTGATGTCTGATACGCCGTTTCAGTGTGTCACCCGGTGTCACCTTATTGTATTGAGTACATACCTAGGTATAGGGAGTAATAAAAAATGTATGTATACCTACACATTTTACGAAATAAGTAGGTACAACTTTAATGTTATAATTACGCGTCCTTGCCATAATGCTTGATATTTACGTTTTACTTGTGATTGATATCAGTTTTGCAGAGAATTTTCGAAAGGTAAACTCAATATTATCAATAATTAATATCACGTTTTCGTAAGTATAATATATGTATGACGTCGGAACACACGTTTAAACGTTCTGATGCATCCATATACAGAGCAATATACCGATAGGTAGTTAACTTGATTAAACTCTGTAATGGGATTCACCGATAGTTTCGCTCAGATTTTATCAGTCGCCGGTCATTCCACTATTTGCTCCCGTCCTCGATTAGTTTCCAACGCAGGAAATGTATGAAAGCAGAGTTCTGATTAATACGAATACCAGTCAAGTAATGGTCAATTTATAGATCGATAAAAGTAATATACAATGTTAAATCTTATCTTAATGTATTTAAAAATAATCTGCTGGTCTAATTGTAAACATCAATTGTATGTAATCGTTAAATTTAATGTAATTTATTTATCCATTTACGAAAATAAGTCCAAAACAAATTAATTGAAAATTTTCTCTATATTATAATAAATTTGTAATATAATATAGGTACCTATGTTGGCATGTATAATAGATGTTTTACTTTAATTTTTAAATCCCCATTTAGAGAAACACATTTTTTTATTCTCCAAACAAACAACGTTGAAGTTTTTAAGAAAATAATGTCTTCACTTTGTGTAGGTTATTCTTAACTTGCACTAATTTTGACGCTTGTTATTAAAGTTTATGATTATTATATAGGTACCATATTTTATTGTATGTAGATAGTCTAATTTATAATATATATTTAATGGCAACAAATACGTCATAAATGACTAAACAAAAAATAAACCATCAATAAACCAAAAAAAAAATCTTGACATCAATTTATTATTTTTAAATTTTAATATAGTATGGTTTATTTACAGTATACTTAAAAGGATGTCAGCGTCCTATATGTTTTTCTCACGCGCGCCTCATGGACAATTTGCGTTCAGCGGAACCGACTTCTTGTTAGCTTTTAACATTAGAATTTAGAGTGAATTGATATCATATGATATTTAAATTTTAAAGCGATATTATGAGACATTTTTATTTGTTATATTTTACATACCTACTTGTAAATACGTATAAAAATTAAAATATGGTAAAAACTCCACTGTACAAACATGGATAGTGTCCTTAACTTAAGTTTGTTAATAGTTCAATTCAATCTAAATACTTAAGTTAACAACACAAGGTCGGTTCTACTGAATGTCTGAATGCGAATTTACTATTGGGTGTGTGGGCCAGAGATAGAAAACAAATAGAAGGTATCAAATCTGACATCCTCTTAATACTTTCCGATATAATTTACACGGTAGGAAGTAGGCGTATATTAGGTAGGTATCCAGTAGATATTTATAATTTTCCAAATCATACTGCATGTACGTTTGTTTATAATACGTAGGTACATGTAAAATAAAACGTTAACCGACAATGGTTGGGATATATCACGTTTGTGGTATACAATATAGTGACCACAAATTGGATTATAATAATATTATAGATACATCATTGATCATATGAAGTCGATTTGTACAGGTTCAAAACAATCCAACGTATACCGCAAAGACGCGAATAGACGCAGCCGGTATAAATGTATAATCCGCCTATTATAATAGTACACCTATACATTATAATATATTGTATCGTTTATAAAGAGTAATATGTAAATAGTAAAATATACTAAATGGCATATTATGCCAACGCAGCTTACATCGTAATTAACGAGAATTTAGCGCTGCAGAAAAAATTAAAAGAAAAAAGAAAAGAACTAAAAACGACGATAAAATATTTTTTTCCAAAAACGGCTTAGGTATTTATATATGACGTATTTTTTTTTTTAATTTCATTAACGATATTTTTTTATGCCGTTCTTATCTGCTGCTGCTGCTATGCTCCCTCCAACCACCGCCGGTTATTCGGTGTAAACAATTCGTCCTCACTGAGGTATGTCAGGAACGAAACGATCCATGTGGAATGTCCTCGTTTCGAATATATATTGGCCGTGTACCCGACGGACTAATAGAACAGAAAAGGGTTGTCTGCGGAATGGCAATATAACTATAACTGGAAACGGGAGATAACCAAACTCTGGAGTTTATCTGACTTTACACACACCTCATACTATAATAAAATGTGTATATTATATAGGTGGTTGTACATACGTTGTAAAATAAAAATTTTTGTTTTATAAAATAAATAAATAAAAGTATCGTAAAGGTATACAATGCGGCGGACGATAGACGCAGTAAATCAATAATGACGAAAACGACTTAATACATTTTAATGGACAATAAATGATGGAAATGACATTGTTATTAGAGTCATGATAATATTATATAGGTATGTACAGTGCCATAATTAAACATTTTACAAGGCCTGGGAATAAAGTATAATATCTATCTTTTTAAAAAATAGAAGGAAAACCCTTTGAATTAGATTACGAGGATATAACAGAATTTATAACAGCATCTTTTATACGTATAAAACTTATACATAATCATACATAATTTTATAAATACCTATTTTATATTGGGTATAGCTTTTAACAAGTTTAAGTTCACAAAAGAAGTTCAATGCCGGATGCATGATAGTGCTAGCCACTTTCACAATAATTTGAACACCAGGATCAGAATCAGTTTTACCGTCTTGTGTGGACCTGGCTTAAAATACTTAAATTATTACGTTAGTATAATTCTCTATTACATTACCTAACGTTCTTCATAATATTATAATTCAATATCAACAAAGTCACATGTATTGCAATCATTAAAATATAATTCTGGAAATTTAAAAACTGTTAACAATCCTTTATCTTTTAATATCACCAATCTTATACGAAAATCTTATCACGAAAGATATTAAATTTGGTTAATCATTTATTTATCTTGCTAGCTAATCTTGGCTTTGTTATTTAGAATCTTTGTTATTATCGGAATAATATCGCCTTTTGATTACGTATACATATGATTCATCCAAACTATAGTTCCTATATACTTGCGGGTTGTTTGAATTCGACTGAATACAATTTAAATATTAAATTATGTTCCTGGTAAAATACAAATATAATACTTGAATGTATTTTAAGTAATTACAATGTATAAATATTTAAACACATTTATTCAAGTATTTAAACATTTTAAACTGCTCTTCTTATGAACCCTGCAGGGTAATTTCAAGTGGTTTTTTTAAGGTTTGTGAGCAACAAGTGACTGAATAATAATAATACATTTGACTCTTCTACGAACACACAAAATAACGCTTCTGAATAAAAGCATTTCTTATCCACTTCATAAAAAATCACTAAATAAACAAAAGAAGGACTCTTTTGTCTGCCTTTTTTAACTTGTAAGTAATTTGTGTAATTAATTAATTTTACATAAAAGCATTTATAAAGCATTGTTTTTATACAACTGAACACATGGATGACATATTTTTCGAAAACCATACATTAACCAGATAAAATTTAAAATTTCTGACAGTCGATTAAGATATACATTATTGCATAATTGATTAGTTATTATGTTTGTTCGTATGTGTAAAAAGCTCGGTAAAAAGTAAAAGCTGGTCAAACACTGTTGTAAACTAATGATTGTTACCACAAAATAGTTTTTATTCAATTATTAATACTGGCCAACGCTAGTAGGTATACTCAATATCTAATATATTATTATATCTATATAATTATTTTATAGTATTCATCAAATCAAGACATTTCAGTATTCATTGCTACCACTTTCTATCAAATTAAAATTAAATATAGTGAAACTTTTAAACTCGGTTTTATAGTCTGCATTCCTGAATAACGATCAATTGTGTCTTGGATTATATCATGCAT